CCTTTCACGTTAAACGGAACGAATATCTCCGAGTCTCTAGCTATGTGTATCTAGGTCGGGAAGTCAACATGATGAACGACCTAGCTCCAGAGCTGTGCAGAAGGAAACGCGCCGCGTGGGGAGCATTTAAGAATATCGAGGGAGTAGTGAAGAAGACAAAGAACACCCGGCTCCGCGCTTACCTTTTCGACACTGCTGTCCTTCCTGCTTTGACGTACGCCTCGGAGACCTGGACTCTACGAAAGCAGGATGAGCATGCTGTCAGCGTTACTCAACGCGCTTTGGAAAGGACGATGCTCGGAATTTCCCTATACACGCAAGTGCAGAAGGGAATCCGGAGTTCCGAGCTCCGTCACCGAACGAAGATCAGGGATGCCGTTGATTACGTCAAGAAATCTCTCTCTGGCTCATGACAGGGACCAATGGAGACGTTACTGGCGCCCGCTCGAGGAAGTCGATGATCAACGGGACGACAGGTGATACAGGTGATTTATTCATTAAGTTATCAGTGTACGATAACGTGCACGATAAATAAATGTGCCATTGAAACAGAGATACACATAGGTAAGTACAAAAGTGAGTAAGTTATCAATAGTTCATAGGACATTGAAAGACCTTTTGATGTGATAAGAGATATGATAGTGAACTGTACCAGGAGATAAAAATAGAAAGGCGTGGAAATGCTGATAAATGAAATGGTCGCTGCAGAAAGCCTAGTTAGAATGGGAGTCAAAAAAGCAGGTATCTTAGACAGTGAGACAGTGACTATGTTGTATTTTTACTTCAAAGGTAGTCATAGGAGCAGAAGACTCGAGGGTCCTCATTTCCTAAAAACATCTTTGGCCATATGACGAGCATGTTCTCATTCCAGTCCAAGGATTATAACAGTTCATGTATCATCGTTTGAAAGAAAATCCCAGGATCTCCATGTTGCATAAAGCCATATCGATAAAATGATCAAGGTCAGTGCACTCAACGCAAATCAACCCAAGCATTTGAAAAGCGATCATAGAATGAATAGATGTGCCGAACTATCAAAGCAGAACATGCAAGCATTGAATGAACTGACAATTAAAACAACTCAACAGGAACCGAGAACATAACACCGCCGAAATTATCTCCAAATAACTGCAACTGAGATTATTTATTTCTCTTTTCTCTTTTTTTTTCTACCCAAAGCTCTTTTTGGAAGAATCTGAATTAGCTGAACTTTATAATTTCAAAATAGTGAATCGTGTCGATATACCTTCACTAGAGCAATGAGGCCCTTACACGTTCGTATGGCATCCGTTCAATTTCATTTCTCTTAGCGTTAACGAGCTCAAGTAGTGATGAACTGAACGAGAATAAATTTTAACTGCTTATCTCACATTTGTACTCCTAACGATGATACAGATAGAGTAGTCTATTTTCAATAGGCACATGATTAAAGGCACGGTTCGCGATAATTCAATGGGCGGGTATGCCAATGACGTGTCCGCCTCTCATTCGATGTCACGTCTGACTGTCTGACGTGACATCGAATGAGAGGCAGACACGTCATTGACATACCCGCCCATTGAATTATCGCGAACCGTGCCTCTAACTCAAATTCGTCTAAACGGTGAATTCACGAACTGCTAGAAAGGAGATATGATGTATGCAACGTAGCAACGTAGCAGAATAAGAGAACACCGATGAGCTCATTTTCCTTTCTTTTTTTCACTCACTTCCACTTTCATGAATAGGAGTTTGCCTATGAAAGTCGACCGAACATGTTGACAACGATAAGGTTGACATCCGAGGCGTTCATGCTGCTTCAGTCCTCCTCCTTATTCGCGTATTCATTACAACAACAGTTAGCGTGACATACTTTTGTGAAGCGGTGCGCTTGTAACAAAAAAGGTCAGGTCATAGTATGAAAGAAAACAGAATGAGTCTAATAGGTTTTGAAGGGCTCAGGATCCTCACCTAAACACGCGATCCCGATCTAAGAGTATTATTATGTAATTTCAATGAGGGAATGGATATGAAGGATCGATTCTGAGCAACACAAATAAATTAGACGGTTGATTAGCCTCCCCATTTCATTCCAACGGTGAATCTAGCCGCCGTATCCCATATAAATAAATAAGTCAAAGGATCTTGTGTTGGGAGCATCATTCTTCAGATGAACATATGTGGTTATGGTTTACCACTTTGATTTGGTAAAGTTCAGCTAACTCTGAAAGAAAAGCAATGAATGAACGTCGCTTGATACATATTCCATCCCTAGCAGGGAGCTTGACAATTTTAGTAGCAGGAAGGTGACTTGCCGATGTTGTTCCATTTCATTGGAGCAAGAGCCTTGTGGTGGTGTTCGTCCTTTGTTTGGCATTTTCACAGTTGCCCCCTCATTCGGCACATTCGCACCGCTCTCTGCTGCTTATGATTCTCGGCGAAGAATCCATCTTACACTGCCTCACTTTGGCTGTCGTGTTTCTGTCCAGCGTACCAGAGGTAGAGGCTCCCCATTATTTCCTGATTGTTAGTGATGATCTATTGTACATCAGGTGAAACGCACGGCTTGAATGAAATGTAGGAAACGGAATTAAGGAATAGGAGAAGTAGTTGTTCGAGAGCCGATAAACAAGAAACAAGGTAACCTCTAAGGTATTCTTCGAGTATCGAACTTGAGAGGGACGACTCAACAGCGCCTGTAATAAATCAGCTGACTTCTAGCAATGGGATCCGTTTAGGCTAAAGCGACCACGATTAGGTCCCTTTTCCAATTGTGGCCTGAACAATTTCAATAACCAAGAGACTGAACGGGTGCGGATCTTTTTCGACCAACCGAAAACCAATTCAGGAATGATTCCCATTTGAAAAGTCTGTTCCTCAAGTCCCTTCGTTCTTGCATGACTGCTAGCATCTTCTTCTGGGACGATAAAACTTTTTGCAGTCGATACACCGAAGTTCATGCAGCTTTACGTTGTGAAATGGCATTGCAAACTACCGTTGGCGTATATGAAAGCAACATCACTACTCGATGCTGAGTTCCACTACTCTATGCTATCAAACACACTTTGACATGCATAAATGTCATCCTGTTCCCCATTTGCTCATAAAACCTGTATATATGTCGAGAAATATGCAAATGATTTGCTGGTTTTTACAGAGACATTGAAAAAAGGTTCAAATAGTTCACTGCTTTTTATAGAGACAAACAGCAGACACGTAGTCATCCTTTGTTTCTCTTGTACTCATATAGCCATTGCATCCGTATACTGTGCCTGGAGGAAGGCGCTCGAGCTGAACACAGATTTTCAATTTATACAGATGTATCAACCGTGTCATATAGAGGGCGAAGTTGCCTGGGAACAGCATTCTCTAATAACATTTGTCTACAACGAATCTTTCACAAATCACGATGCGTGGTTTAGAATGTAGACCTGGGAGTTCTAGGGTGATTTCTAGGACCCTATCTTAGCTCGCTACACTCATTGGAACATTTTCGGAGGAGACGGTTCAATATTCTTTGCCTTTTTCTCGATCACCATGCACTTGCGTAATCACTGGAAATTCAATGGCCACGATGTTATAAACTTACTTCTGCTTCTGCTTCATCAAAGCTTCATTCATTCTGGATCTCTAAGACGTCGACTATTTTTTGCCATACTGGCTTGTCATCTGCATTGTCAATCAAGCTGAAAATTTGTGGAGAAAATAAAAAAAGGAAAAGGTTCAAGCAAGCAGACACAAACCTTCTCCCTCCAACAATCAAATCAGCTTCCTCACTTTGTCGATAGTGTGGAGACTTAAGCCAGTCCAATGCCTTTTTTGCCCACTCATCACTCCAAACCTATCAGTTGTACATTATATGTATTATACATCATTTGCAGCTGGGAGCTAAACCTGTTGAAGAAACTAACCAAGTCATTAGTGTACATACTGTTGATTGTCTCAAACGTTTCTTTATCGTCTAGTGGAGTTTCCAAGTCTGAAGAGAAAGAGCTTTTCGGTCATGTCAATACAGCACTACAAATATATGAAGTGGTTTTTTCTAGACTCAGTGGATTCAACCTTCATTTGAGCGCTCACCCTCAGCAGATGAAATTGGCACAAGGAGAGCCAGAATTGGGAAAAGCAGGAACATTTGGATGTGATGCAATATCCTCGAAATTCCTCTTTTATAGGTAGTGATGGTGATTCTAGTTGCACCTACCACTACGCATACATATAATTCATTGCCAGGGGTTTTCCGTAAAAAAGGCTTGCAATTAGTTAACACTATCGTTCCTAATCTAATCCTCGTTTGATTTGGGTTGCTTACTTCTGCAGCGAAAGTTGAGAATGTGACGCGGTCTTGGACTATCACCTTCAATCGTTACATGGGAACAAACGGCCTGTTGCTTTAGTGAAAATAAAAAAGGGATCAAATGTAGCTTAGTAGCTCCATCATTATGGAGTCAATGGAATGGCATTGTTGCAATTTTCCAAATTTGTCAGCTGTATTGGTTTCTATTTCACCATTTCCAAGTGCTTAAAGGTGAAAAAGTCGTGAACAAGGACTTTGTCTGAAACCTCTATGTTACAGTAGAGCACCATTCAAAGATAAGATAATAATAATTAACAGTTAAGGCGACAGTCGGGTAGTGTGGTTGCCCACACAAATTCATCGGCGTCGGATCCGTTTTTATGAAGTTCTACCGTTCCAGTGTTGAGTTAGCCGTGGGTACTACGTACAAACCGATATCTAGCTATTTGCACTCTTTACTGGATAGAAGTGAGATTCAAATCTCCATTTTTCCCAGCTATGACCTGAATTTGAAAGTGCTTAAAGGTGAAAAAGTCGTAAACAAGGGCTTTGTTTGAAACCTCTATGTTTCAGAAGAGCACCATTCAAAGATAAGATAATAGTAATTAACAGTTAAGGCGACAGTCGGGTAGTGTTGTTGCCCACACAAATTCATCAGCGTCGGATCCGTTTTTATAAAGTTCTACCGTTCCAGTGTTGAGTTAGCCGTGGGTACTATGTACAAACCGATATCTAGCTATTTGCACACTTCATTGGATAGAAGTGAGGTTCAAATATCCATTTTCCCCAGCTATGATCTGAATTTGAAATTGACGCTACAACAACATTAACACTTCCTTCAATCGCCGATATATTAACATTGCCATCAGCTGTGCTCTATTCGAGCATTCAGGTTTCGACTAAGGTCATAGTTCACAGGTTTGTCTTTTTCACAGCACCTAAGCATGATTGAACAAAATGAGGTACAAAAATGTAGCCATACAATCGACGTTCTCAAGGCTTAACTATTTAATATTGAGCGGACATTAATAAGCACTGGAATGGTTATTGTTTTCTATCCCTTGTGCCTGACGCTTCGGCATTTAATCAATGCCATTCTCAGAGAGCTTCGTGGACTGTGATTCAGAGAACTTTCGAATTGAGGATTCGATTATGACAGAACCATCAAAGATACTCTTCTGAATGATGTTTCAAAGTGGGTGCGTCCAAGTTAGGGGACTACCCTAGCCATGACAAAGAACCGCACCTTTATTCTAGGTAATCCTTGCAACATGCGAGTGAGCACTATTGTATAGCTACACAGTTCGCTGATTTTTCCTATTATTTTGTTCCGAATCCGAGTTGTTTCTGCAGTTGGTTAACATCGTTCACTTAGCTAGACTTCTACCAAGCCATGATAATATGGGTGTCGTGTGGGTTACTCCAAGTGACACGGGTACTTACTGCATGGCAGATCTCGGATTCGCTTCGAGAACTTTGAGGTTTAATCGCTTTGTTGGTGCGAGATATTCATAACAACCATCCATCATCGTCCTTAGATTAGAAGCTCTCGAACCATCAAATGGTAATAGGAAGCATTCTCCTCAAATGAAACAACTAACTAGTTGATAACTTCCGAAGGAGTGCCTGGTAGTGAATAATTCGTCGCCGAATGGAATTTTCAAGCATCCTACCGTACGCCACGCACAGCTCTCGCAACGTTTCGCAAGTCGCGATGTGACTGGGCATTTCGAAACTGTCACATGTCT